CACACACACACACACACACACACACACACACACACACACACACACACACACACACACACACACACACTCCTTCAGGAACACGGTTCACTGGTGAATCTCTCTCTTGGTTTCTGCAGATATCTGGCCATGTACGCTTACAAACCGCAGAAGGCGGATGAGCTGGAGCTGCGGAAGGGCGAGATGTACCGCGTGATGGAGAAGTGTCAGGACGGCTGGTTCAAAGGCACGTCGCTGCGCTCCGGAGCGTCTGGAGTTTTCCCAGGAAACTACGTCACGCCCATCTCCAGGTGAGCATTACTCAAACCATCCAGAGATACTGCAGCGCCTCTATATTCTCATCAGTGAGGAGGTTTAACCTTCTCAGGTCTCGTCTTTAAAGATGTTAAAAACGCACCTGCATCTGCACACAATTTTATAGTTCAAGTCCATATCGCACAGTTCTCACTTTACACCTCAGAATGCGAGTTAATGAGATTATTTTCTTAGAATAGCAAGTTTGAGACTTTTATTCTTAGAATTGTGAGTTTTTAAGACTTTTTTCTCAGAATTGCAAGTTTTTGAGACTTTTATCAGAATTGTGAGTTTGAGACTTTTCTTCTCAGAATTGAGACTTTGAGACTTTTATTCTTAGAATTGCGAGTTTTTAAGACTTTTTCCTCAGAATTGCGAGTTTTTATCTCATAATTGCAAATTATAAAACTAGTAATTCTTAGTTTGCATCTCGCAATTCTGACATTTTTTCCTCCACAGAATAAAACAAAATAAAAAAATGTATTTGTGATTTTTTTTTTACCTCACAGTTCTGACTTTTTTCTCATTAATTCATGTTTACAACTCGCTTTTTTGACTTTTGAGTTTTTGTTTTTGCCGCTGAATTAAAAAAATCATAATTGTGACTTTTTATCTCACAATTCCTACTCTTCGTCTCTCTTTTTAGAATTGCGAGATTATATCTCACAATTACAAGTTCTAAACCTGTAATTACAAGTTTACATTTCGCAATTTTGACTTTTTTCTCAGAGCTCAGAGTTTAAAGGGTTAGTTCACCCAAAAATGAAAATTATGTAATTAATTACTCACCCTCGTGTTGTTCCAAACCTGTAAGACCTTCGTTCATCTTCGGAACACAATTTAAGATATCTTTGATGAAATCTGAGGGCTCTCTGACCCTCCCATAGACAGCAAGGTAACTACCACGTTCAAGGTCCAGAAAAGTACCAAGATGATCGACAAAGTAGTAGTGTGACACATTTTAGTAGTTCC